AAAATCAAATGAGTCTACCGCTAGAACATGGAAATATACATTGCACACATGCGCGCGGCACACCAGACGTGCGCAGTGCACCGCGCACCCAGATGCGCAACGTGCGCCGGTGCGCGCACACCCTGGGTCCACGCACAGCGCACTGCGCAGCGTACCGCGCAGCGCACAGTGCCGGTGCGCCGCAAGTATGATATGCACATATATCGTCAAACAGAATATGTAGTCGGTGAAACTCCGACGAAACAGTTTGTCACAGGCTCACAGCCCCTCGTTCGTTGTCCTCTGCTCCCTCTCTGCCTACGGTTTACCGGGCAGCTCTGTTTGACGATATATAATAATAATGTGGTAAGGAATTTCGAGATTCGGTTTATTTTTCTGCATAACATAGTTTGGATTTTTATTTTTTTCTGTTTGGCAGGGACCTTCCCTCGCTCTTGCCCGGTTGGGCAGCACGCGAAGCCAAGGTGACCCGGGCGGCCCGGTTGGTAGCCCAGATTATCATTATATGCATCTATGTCAATTATTTTTTTGACTGATACAAGCTTTACCCTAAGGTGCACACAAGACAAAGTAAGTAAAGGACATCTCTCTTTTGTTTCCCTTTAACTAAACAAAGTAGGCAAAGAAAGTTCGAGAGATTGGTTGGGAGAAGACTCAGGTGGAGATTACGGAGAAGTAGCAGCCCCTCGCAGCATGACTGCGAATTTGGAATCCACATTCTAGCAGAACATACATTTTCCATTTCGCACATTTGGTGAATAGCACGCGAGCCCCCCAGTCTTCTGAAACAGTTACGGGCACATGCAAGAAACAAAAAGCGTACGAAAAACGCAAACATGCAAGAAACAAAAAGCATACGAAAAATGCAAAGTGCACAAAGACTACGCTACCAGCCGGGCCGCCCGGATCACCTTGTTTGCCGGGGCGGCCCGGCCATGCAAGGGCCAAAGAAGGTCCCAGCAAAAAAATAAAACCTGAAAATCAACTATGTTATGCAGAAAAATAAACTGAACAACTTTTGCCCCAGCGTCTCATCGAAATTTGTTACCAAATCTTAAATCTGTAATGACCCGCCAAAAACACAGACTGAGAACACGGCTGATTTCTGGGATTTGCCGCTGGAATGAATGCCTTGTTGAAATTCCCGCGTTCTGCTGTGATTTCTATGTCTGTGTGTGTGTGCGTGCCTGCTGGTTTGCATGCCTGTCTGAGTGCTTGTCGGTTGAGTGTGTGTGTGACCCGCAAGGGTACTTGTTGGTTGCAAGGCCCCGCAGGGCCGGTACTTACCTGTGGCCGTGACTGTGAAGGGTTGCAG